TCTTTCTGGATGGTAAATAAAAGGGGAAGAATTGTGTAAACGTGCAGATCTTAAGAGCAGTTGCGAACTACTGAAAATATTAAAATGTTGCAAAAATTACACAGCATCTGCAATCACATCACTTGTGCTTATTTCTGTCCAGGTAATCGGTTTTGTGTGATAATACTGGCATGTTTAATGCTTACATTGTGAGATGTGCTGAAATCTCTCTCAGCCTTGCCTTTTTGTGGTGTTCAGTACTACTAGGTCCTTTTGATACCACCTACCATTGGGACCGCTCACTCTGCAAAGACAAGTCCTTGAAAAATAAAGTGCACTTGTGATACTGAGGAGCAGCCCAAGCATCTGTATTTAAGGGGCTACCCTCATCATTACTGTGGGCTTCCCAGACCAGCTTTCCGATGTAGCCTGTGCAGCAACAATAGAGTATTTCTGCCTGAGAGCCAAGGTCCAAGTGTGCTACTGCATTGATACGGGGAGAGGAGGGACTGTGTGCTTGCTTTTCCAAGAAGGATCTTTGAGAGCCTGTGTGCATGTGAAATGGCCTCCACTGTGTTTTGTCGATGCTCTTGTTACACAGCATTGAGCAGGCAGAGCTTCGATGCTTCATGTGGAACAGTTACAGCAGACTCTTCAGTGTTGCACGATTTCTGAGCAGTGCAGAGTGTGCCAGTAGTAAAATAAATTAAGAAAATATCCTACACAGAGGGAGGATACAACTGAAAGCCTCGGTAGAGCTAGGGCTGTTTGGAAATCTGGAATGCAGTTGGAGCGTGCCTAACCTGTTGTTTTACTGTGTGTCTGCAAAAGACTGTTACTAGCAAAATAGAAACATGTCAGAAAGTAGTTTTATTTTTCCTTTCTATTTATTTTATAGCTTTTATCCAACCCAGTGAAAACTAACCATGAAATTATGGAATTAAAAACTGGGAAGTTAGGTATTCTGCATAAAAATGAAACATGCGACATAGGAATTTTTACATAAAAGTATGTTGTGTAAAAATGTACAGGGGTGACAGGATGCAAATTGTAGAAGTATCAGAAATAGAAACACTTGAAGATCCTCCACCACATGTGCAGTAAAGGCAAAAGTGAAGCTTACTTCCCAAGGAACCGGAGGTTCTCTGAGATGCATTATTGCGAGAGAGAGAGATAGGAGTGGTGTGTGTGTATATATGTCTCTATACACGCACATTCTCTCCAGAGTGCAAATGTATACGTGAGCGAGTGTTTCAGTGGGATGTATTTCAGCCTTAGCAGTAACATAGCAATTACGCTTGTAGAGACTTCCATCTCTGCAAGCTCTTTTTTTGAACAAGCTTTATATTTTCAACTTATCTAGAAAAGGGTTTGGAGACCTGGGTAAAGGAATTAATGAATGATGCTGCCAAGACCTGCGTTGTGCCTGATTTCCTTTGCAATTATGTAGTACTTGGCAAAGGTGAGGATGAAAATCCATGTTGTTGATCAGCATGGGTTGATCTCTTGGGAACAGAGATGCTGTGCTCCTGTGGAGCAAAATGATGGTGCTCTCCCTGGCTGTCTCACAGCCAGTCCTGAGAATCTACAATGAGAGGCTATTTCTGAGCTGAGAAAACCGTGTGAAGGGACCTTTCTGCCGTGAAAACAGGTAGCTTAATTCTGTCTAAAATACTCAAAGGGTTTTTGAAGACTCTCTTCAGTATTTTGGCATTCAGTCAAAACAGATTTAGGGGAAAAGAATCAGTCTCCTGACATGAAGTAAAAATTGGAGATAACTTAAGGGAAGAAATTAAGCTGAGCTCAGCATTATCCCATAATGAACAGGGTAAAAAGGCACTCAGTCATTAAAATCTTTTTCCCCAGTCCTCCTTATAGAAGTAATAGCCACTCAAAAGGCCAGTTTCAGCTGAGGATTCAGGAGGGGGCAGATGGGCTTTACTGTGACATTTACCAACGTATCACCATCCAAATGGAGAATGGGATCTGTGTCTCAGGGCAGAAAACCCCCACTCAACTTTTAGGGGCACTTATAAGTGTGGGGAAGGGATGATCTTTTTCAGTTGGTGGCTCCAGGTCTGAAATTCCTGCCAGAAACCCTTGGCTGAACTGCTACTTTTTCATTTTTAAGTACTAGAAGACAACTCAGAAATAAAGGAAGAGAGAGCTCTCTGGGTGATGACAACTTCCGTGTATATTACTGAGTCCACTTGAGTACATCCAGTGAAGCCTGTCTCATTCATAAGACACTCTCTCAGCAGAAAAGGGCACATCCATTTGGTTTCCGTAAGCTTTCAAAGCTTGGGATGCTGAGTGTTGCGATTCAGATGGTAGTTGGGATTTATTAGTACATAATTATTACAGTCCTGTCTTTCTTTTTGAGATCTATCCAAAGAATGTAGTTTGGAGGGAGGACAGATACAGGTCATATAACAAAGTAAGGGGGAATATTTCTGCTCTAAGCCTGTAGATGAACTGGCATGTCCTGTTGATTTCTGCGGAGAAAAAAAAAAAGTACCTTGGTAGCCTTTACAATCCTCTAAGATTAAGATCTAAAAAAACCTCAAAACAAACAAAAAAACCCACCACCAAAAAAAAACCCAAAACCAACAAACAAACCAAAACAAACCCCAAACAAAACCAACAAAACAAACAAAAATAGGCAAACAAACCCCCCCATCGCTCCAGGTCTCCCATTTGTGGTCTACCAGTCTGGAACAATTTGGCTCTTCTGTGAATGTAGTCAGAGAGAATCTGCTGTTAGTTCAACCTGACTTCTCCAGTCCCAAAGTCTGATTGCTTCTTGACACAGGAGAGGAGCACTGTATGATCCTTTTTGCTTATGATTAACATGTTCTCATGGCCAGAATGGAGTATCCTTGGACAAAGACCTGGCACAGATTCCTGAGATGTCAGCAGGGCAGTAAGGAGGCACTTCTCAGATCCATGTGGCCTCAGGACCTCCCTAAACAAGCAGAAGAGTATCTATTACTGCAGAACTAGATAGGAGTTGGGATAAGAACAGCAAATATGAGCAAAATCCTTCTGCTGTGAGGCAGAGTTTTAAAACTGATCATGAAATTACAATATATAGAGCCATAGGGTAACTTTGGGTAAGACAAACAATCTAGAGCCCAGCCAAACAACTGAGTGTAGCTGGCGTGACAGGGCTTCATCACCAAGGGTGGCTTCTTGGCGGAACAGGTGTAGTAACAGACTTAGCACAGTATCCACAGAGGGTTGTAACAAAGCTTTAGAAGAGGTGCTACTCTCGTTAGAAATTAGCTCTATTACTCTACTTCGTGAATGTGAAATTTGTCAAATACCTAGAATTGGTAACAGAGTCTAGCTAGTCAGGATCCTCAAAAATGCTGCCAAATAACTTTATTTTAAACTGAACGCAACTAAAAAATCCATTGGGATTTGAGAAAAAAGAGTTGTGAAGGACAGGGCTGTAAAGTTATTCTTAGTGTTTCTTTTTCTCTGATGGCTTTGACACCCCAGTAGGTAGGTGGACTGAAGCCCCTGGTGTACATATCACAGCTCCTTGCTGAGGGAGAAAAAGTCACCAGAGTTGAAAATGCTTAAAATAATTTTTGAATTTCCGCTCACTTGAGTAACAGTTTAAGCAGAGCATTCTGGCTGAGTGTTACACATCTGCCATTGGGACTAACAAAATTATTTCTGTCATAAGAAGTATATACCATTTGAGAACTGTTTATAGTCCATAGGGTGTTATAAAACAATACTGTCACTGTTGCCTTCTGTCCTAGTTTCCTTCAGTGCCATGCTCTGATCTGAGAACTGTATGGGTTCCAAATGTACCCTTAGCTGAATGAAGTGCTAGAGTTTAAGACTTGGTTCTCACTCATTAGTCAGCACACTCATGAATCCACAGACATTAATATACGTTGGGCCAAGCCCAAAGTAATACAGATGGTAGTTCATTTGATGACAGTATCTTCCATAATATTGCAATGATTATTTTGAAGTTTTTGTATATTTTGCAATATGAAAGTGCATGTATAAATAGTAGCTATGAGGATAGAGCCTCGCCACTGTTAAAGCACATGTGCAGTTTGCCATACACAGTAATTCTGAAATTTCCCAACCACCACAGACACAGCCTTCCCCAAAACACATTTACAGATAATATCAAGGATTCTACAGAATGGCTAGATGCAATACCATTTTTCTGCAGAAAACATTTAGTGTGTAGCAAAATAAAGACCAGGACCTTCTGGATGAGACTGTAGATGCTGCGGTTGTATAAATTAATAATAGAAACTGTGAATGAGTTTTATGTGACACTATGGGCTCTTTCAAGAGCTTATCTTAGATAAACATTTAACACATCGTGCTTATGTGAAGCTGTTCAGAAACTTCCTCCTGGGTACAGCTGCTCCATCTTGCACATCTCTAACTTATACTAGTATATGTTAAGACAAATGATCACTGTGCAACTGCTGGGAAATAGGTTAATTTAGATTATTTTGCTATAGGTTCTTGACTTCTGCAGACTTTTGATCAAGTTCTCAGCTGGGCTGCCTTCCAGACAATTGTCCAGATGAGATTTTGGGGGCAGGTGTTAACTGTGCAAACCTACTTAGTATTAAACGTACCTGTCTCATTGCTACTGACTTCAGAGACGATACTTTTATATTTTTTTTTTCTGGTCATTGTTCTTCACAAAAGACCTAATTGAAAATATCTGTCAAATCATGTCTCTGGTTTCCCTCTTCTTCCCCCCCAGCTATTAATTGGACAGGTATTGTGTTTGTGTGGAAAGGAAGGAGGCTCTGTAGCAGTACAACAATATTGCTGGGAAAAGAACATTAAAATGGATAAAGGGATTTCCTAGTGGTATAAATACCTGCACACGACCTCCCTGTGCTCTGGAGCCCTCCTGTATATCTATATGCAGGTAAAAAGCTTGGAATAGAGTTTGAGCTGCTGTTAAGCACGTAGGATCTGTTCTGTTAGAAAACAGGGGCAAACAGCTCTTTTGCCTGTTGGAGGGTATGACTTGCCAAGCGTTTGCTTCATCTGACACCTTTGTACCCTTGAATTCTGACTCTTCTCCCTCTCTGCCTCTGATAATGCATCACAGCGCTACAGAGTGCCTGCCGGTTTCTAACCATGCCACCAATGTTGTGTCTACAGGTACTTTTAAAAAATAATCTTGCTCTCAATAACTCTCATCTGTAATGCTTTTGGATGATGCGTGTTCATCGAGTTCCGCAATATTTAATATGTTTCGTATCAATGCTATGTGTGATTGGGACTACATTAAAGTAGAAGCATTTTCACAAAACTCTGCATGATGAGTGAATCAGGAAAACCCCAAATGTTTGTGTTGGCTAATTTTGTAGCTTTCTCCAGGTTTATTACAAGATTAGGCTCAAGTATACTACTAATGTATTAACTTAGAACAGGTTCAAACACTCTCACTGTTGTTATGACTATATAGTCTTCAATGACAAGTGTCATATATATTAATTGAAAGTTTGTTTATTATGTAACCATCATTTAAAATAATATAAATTACTTTAAATAGGAAATGTATTTCAAACAGATCAGGTCTAAATATCATTTGGGGAAGCTTTCAAAACAGAAAAAACATTGCTTTACAAAGCATATTGCATACTGCATCAGGACTCATCAATATTTTTTAATTTTGTACATGTATATAATCCAATTAATTGCATTTAAATACTAGGACTATGTAATCACTGAACTATCTGAGAGAGAGAGAGACAGAGAGAGAGTTTTTTTGCATCCTTAAACCTGCAGAACTGGGATTCTGGAATACAGAAATTGTTAATGGAAAGCTTTCAGGAACAGAAAAACAAATAGTTTTGATTTATTTGAAATTGTATTAAGGTAAGAATTTTAACTGGAATCTTAACAAGAAACTAGCCATCTCCTGAACTGCATTGGTAATAAAACATTTTAATAATAAGGAAAAGCATGTAAGTAATGAAAACTGAGCATTGGTGATGGATAACAGGTTCTCATACATTAAGCAGGAGGCTCAAAATATCCTAATATGGCTGTTGATTAGTTGTGGTAGTAGGGAATAGGAGAATTTAGATTTTGTATGAGGTTAAATTTATGTATCTGTATCATAGTAGTATTTTCTAGATTCATCTGATTCATAATAAAAAGTATATGATGACAGCCAGCTAAAAACATTTTTTTGCCTGCTTCAGATTTGGGTTTTGATATTTTGTAGTTACCATCCAAGGACAAATACCACTGTAGTCAGTGAGAATTTTGTTTATAGGATAACATCTAGCAGATGACCCTGTGAAAATGGAAGCAGTGACAGAGGGTGCTAACTACAATGAGTAAAGGTTTACAAATGTCATACATCAATTCAGAAATTGTAATAAACAATGCCATTCTGGTGAAAGCATCTAAGGAGAGTTTGTGCACAAAGTAGACGTGAAAGAATTTTGAATAATGACTTAGGTTAAATGTCAAAATTTTTTAAAATGCATGTAACAATTCTGCATCACAGAATAGAGGTGAATATACTTCTGTTCAAATACTATACCATGTCATACAGCTGATGTTCTGCAGTATCCTCGAGACTTTAATTGTTATTATTTAATTTAAATAGTGTCATCCTTACTGTTTCATTTTAAATACTTATTAGCAAGTTGAAAATGCGATTTTTATGCATAAAAATTGCAGTCTATGGATTATGAAATAATAAGAAAAAAGCACCAGTAAACACTTAGATCTTATCTCAATAGAAAAGTTGCATGACTTTAATTGCATTTATACTAGCATAAGTATGCGTATTTCAGTAGATTTTATAGCTGTGTAAGTGTATTTGAACAGGACATTCTACTCTTACGATTACTGTTGTAAAAAACAGAGATTCTAATCCCTAATTAATTATATTGTTCTGAACAACTGGAATGTGTTCTCTAAAGTGCAGTTTTACATGTCTGAATGTTCACAAACATGAATTTTTAATATTACATTTTATAGTAGTTGTTAGGGGGGACAGTATATGCATTTCTGTGCCTACTTATGCATGAGAAACAGCTATATCTCTTATTTTGCATTCAGCAAAAAATTATATGATTCTTTAGGCACTGGCAATTACTGAGCACAGATCTGAAACATCCCTGTGAAAACACTGGGGAAAAATTAGTTGTGTGTGTGTTTGGTGCTGATGATAGAAAATGTTGGTTTAGACCTGGCTTTTTAGAAGAGCCCAGAATCTATCATCCTATTTCCCTAACACCCTGCCAATGTGCTCTGCAATGGTTTTGGTGGCTTGGCACTTAAGAAAATGTTTCCTCTGGATGCCTCAAAGCAAATGTCCCAAACTGCTGCTTTTGGAAACCCAGATCTTAAGCATGTATAAAATACTGCCTTCCTTGATGCCTGTGTTCACTATGGGGTTTGCATGACAGTGAAGCCAATCACTTTTCTGGGAACATACAGCAAGTTTTTATCTAAGATTAAATGAAATGGTGTGTGGAAGTTGGGTGGGGAGAGGAACGTGTTTCCCCCTGGAGAGTTCAATGTTTCCCTTGCTCAGCAGTGTATGTAAACTGGGTTATGCCCATAGATTATACTAAAAATCACGCACTGAGACATACAGCATGACAAATTCTGGTCTTGGCTCAGAGGTATCTCACTATTTATACTGGCAGTCTCATCTGGTGTGACCTGGCCAAATGTCTGGACTTCCAGCAGTGTTAACCTGATGGTTATGGCCCAGAGTTAAATGCTTACTGACTGTACATGAAAACTGCGTACAAGGGTACTGTCTGCCTCTGAACTTAAAGGCTGTGTCTTGATTCTTCGCACATTTTCTTACCAGTCCCATCTGTTTTGTCTTTGCTCCAAACTCGTATATGCTCCCGTAACCACTTTGCCATGACGACTTTGGGAAACACTGGCAGGCCTTCATTACTCTGTGCCTTCCTGTCATTATGGAAATCAACCATCTACCTACGGGGTGATGGCAGGTAAGAGATATACCCTGAGCTGGGTGAGCTATTAGCAGGTTGATTTTGGTCAGTTTTCCTTTAGCGGGATCGATTAAAGACAGTTGCTTAAAGAAGACAGGTTTGTGGTTAAGGTGCTAGAAAAGGGAGGGTTAGGAAATTAGGGGTCAGTGCCCAGAGTTTCCCTAAACCTCTACATCTCTCAGGAAATCACTCCGTATCTTATTTCTCTCTACAAGACTAGCAGTGCTGCTCTTTTTGCTCACCTACGTCCACTTCCCCTGGTGATCATCACTTTTTGAGGGACCAGGAGTGATGTATTCGATATGCCTGTGTATTACCAGTACCTGGGGTGATCGAGCCCTGACTGGAGCTATAAAATAAAATAGTGGCCTAATGGAAGGATAAGTGAATTCAGCAGGCAGATCATACAGACGATTCTGGATTTTTACATTCATGAATGTATGCTAGCATCCTGCTCAGTTTTCCATGTCCCAGGCTAAGAAAGAGGAACTGTTATTCCATGCAAGTTCAAGTAGCAGTCAATGAGATAACGCTATGAACTAAATTAATGCGACTCCCAGGAAATAATTGTGACTCAAAGCTAATCCAAAATCAAACTCAGCATTTTATTTCACTTGAGAATGAAGGAAATATTAGAGTAAGTCAGCATAGATGAATACATCTGCGTAGGGACCTTTTAGGGACAGAGAGTAGACTTCCTTCATGGGGTGCAAAATGTTCAAATGCTCCTATTTCATTATGTATGTATGTGTCTGTTGCAAACCTTCCTGGCATTGTTTAGATCCTTGGGAAAAATTATGTTTCATTCCAAAATACATCTTCGTTTTTCTCCTTTCTTTTTTTACCCTTACTTTTTTTTAGGCATCAAGCCTGCAACTCCAGAGATGCTATCAGCAAGTCTCTCCCAGAGTCGCATCTTACAGACATGCAGCATGCCGCATCCCAATGTGGTAAATGGTGTCAGCACCTTGCAAAGTAAGTCCTTTTCTTTTTTAGTCTTCTCCTTTGTTCTTTAAGAATTTTGTGTGTGTGTGGTTGTCCTGTGTGAGATGTATAAAATATTCCTGTGGGGTTAGAACCTCCAACGCTGGTGAGAGCAATCGAGGCAGTGAAGACAAGAAAAGTAAATGGAGGAAGAGGTGAGAGGTTAATGAGGGTCTGAGTTCTGCTACAAAGTTTTGTGTAATTTATAAAATTAGAAAGGATGAACTGAGAACCTGGAATTTACTGGCTACTCCAAATCCACCGAAGAGTGTTAATATTTCTCCAATGATTTTTTTTTTTCCCCTTCAGGTCAGAGACTCTTTAGCTCTGTGTACAATACCTAGTGCAAAAACAGCCTTCACTTGTAACTGAATCTCCATGTTAAATCTGATATTGGTGAACAAAAGGTAGTATGAGATAGTTTTGTTTTCTCCTTGAGCAATCTCTTTTTAAGCCAAAACAGTCATTCTGAATGTGTTCTGGGTTTGTTGTTGTTGGTTTTTTTTTTCTTTAAGCTCTTACCTGTGTACTTTCCTTGGACAAATTTTGTGCTAAAGCTAAATAAAGATGGTATCTTGTCTGAGCGCCAAATGGTATTTACTAGGAAATATTCTTTGTACCAGGAAATAGACACTGGCACGTTTTAGGCGGCTCAAAACAACATAGACCTCAAAACAACATCAACCTTGTTGTCCCATTTAATTCCAGCTGAGGCGTTGGGTTGTTATTTGTTTAAGTCTAGATGATTTACCATCTTATTTAAGTGCATCACAGTTTGCTATGAAATAGGATGGGTATGGCCTGTGAAAGTGGGTATTGCTTTGTTTTCATGTACGGGGACAAGAGAGAGACCGCATCTCCCCAGAAGATCCTCACTCTTGGATACTTTTGCATACATTATATAATAAATATTACAGATATGGATGATGAGATGATGAAGGCATATTTTTATTATGTAGCAGTAAAGAATAACTGCGCTGCATTTTCTTTTTGGTGTTGCACAGGTAGCCTGACCCCTTGCCTTTATAAATTCCCGGAGCATGCCCTGAGTGCCAGCTCCTGTGCCCTGGGCCACGGCTTCACGCCCATGCACCAGTCCCTCCTGGCAGACGATCCCACCGCCGCAGACTTCAAGCAGGAGTTCCGCAGAAAAAGCAAGTCTGTTGAAGAGCCCATCGACATGGACTCCCCTGAAATCAGGGAACTGGAGAAATTTGCTAATGAATTCAAGCTGCGGAGAATTAAGCTGGGTATGTGCTTTATGGCTGCGAACAAAAGATTGAAAATTTCCAATGGAAGCCCAATTATTTCTGAATGTTTTACAGTCTAGCCTCTGCAGTTGTCTAATCATAACTCTAATCCTGCCTTACACTGCCAAACTTTCTTCATTCCTAGAAGACTTGCACAGAATTAATGAACTTCAGCTTTTGCAACTTAGGATGCAGAAAGTGACTTTAAACTTTCCTGCACTTAAATTATTTGTCTTAAGTGCGGAGGGAATTACTGCTGTTAATTAAATTACATTCAGTAGCAGGTACCTTATTTCAGACAGCCCCAAATTTTCTGCAACTTAGGGCAGCTCATGCTCTCACCTCTTATGCCCATTCCCTTCCCCATGAAGTGCCCCATCTCACAAAACGGTGCAGTGTTATGTTAGTATACAAGATGGGTGACATCCGTGGCAAATCCTTCATACTAGTGGGAAACTTCTCTTCCTGTTTTGTTTTCTTGTGACAAGACACAGGTACAGCAGCAACTGGTATCTTTGTTGCTATCTGATAACTGTAACTACTGGGGCTGATGTGAGACTGACTCCACAAGAAGGTCTCTGGTGAGCTGCTTTTCCTTCACTGGGCAATCCTAACTGAGGACAAAGGTGAACTGAGCCCTGTCTTTCTCATCTGTAGGGAATTTCTCCTTTCTGCAGACAGATTGAGATACATTGCAAAGTAAAAGCCTATCTCATCCTCGATTGAAATGTACTGAAAAAAATTTGGTGCTGCAGACTCATCCTGCTTATGAACACTGGGTACTCTTCACAGTTGCAATTTTTACATTATCCACTGTAACATTATATTGTATCATTACAAAATAGGGCATCCTACAAAAACCTGGCTTTATAAATGTAAAAAAAATTATTACAGGTATCTATGCATTATCTCAACAGCTAGAAAGCTAGTGTGTTCCATTTACAATGTAAAAATAAGGACTGAAACAAAAATTCAGGGCTTAAAATAGTATTTGCATCTTGGTCAGTTTTGCTGTATATCACGTATTTAATGTCACCTACAGCAATGGAAAGGTTTGCTAGGCTCCAAGTTATTAATCACTGTAATTATTACTGCATCTTCACCCTGAATTTGTGAGGGAACAAATCTTCCACTGATGCAAACAAATGGCACAGAGCCTGTAAGACTGGGCTTAATGCTCTGATGGGAAAAATGCAATTTGTGCAGGAAAACTAATCTGAGGTTGAGCTTTACAAGGGAAGACGATGGGAAAAATGCAATTTGTGCAGGAAAATTAATCTGAGGTTAAGCTTTACAAGGGAAGAGAGTTAATATGGGCTGTAGGTCTGAGACTGAGACAGTGTAATCAAAACACAGGTAAAAAGCTGCCTCGTGAGTCATTTAGCATCTAAAGAGATTGTGCCCGTTCTGGCGCAGAGGCAGAAAGAGAGGATGACAAGCCTGCCACTGAACGTGGCAGATAACGCATTCCGAGCACTAAACGGGGAGCTGCCGTTACAAAGTCAGTGTCTGTATGGAAATGGCAGCATTTCTCTGATCGCTTTCACTTAGTTGTCACAACAAACAACAGGGATTATCTTATTGCCATTGCACCAGCTATAGAAAGATATGGGGTGTCTGGATCCTTCTCCAATCCCGAATGTCGGGGTGTAAAATTCCACTAAATCAATGTAAAACTCCACTGAATCCAACAGGAGATTGAACACTGTGGTGAGCTCAGTGTCAGCTGCAGAGATCTCTGCAGAAAGCCCATCCTGAATACACTGAGGGCACACACTGTTCATAAGAGTCGGCAGTGAAGGGCTAAGCATCTCAAGGAAAGTAACCCTTTCTAGAGAGCTCCAAAGTGACTTTTTTTTCCTTCTTTTTTGACAGGTTATACACAAACCAACGTTGGAGAAGCACTGGCTGCTGTGCACGGCTCTGAATTCAGCCAAACTACTATTTGCAGGTTCGAAAACTTGCAGCTGAGTTTCAAGAACGCATGCAAACTGAAATCGATACTGTCCAAGTGGCTGGAGGAAGCCGAACAAGTAGGAGGTAGAGAATTGAAATCCTCTAAATATTGATTTGCATTTAAACCAGAATCCTATATATATGTTGAAGGACTAGTACATGCCTTCCATAGACTCAAGTTTTTGTTTTACCAGCTTTAAATACTAATGTGTGCTTATATTAAATTTTAGTTATCTTTTTTGGGTGAGCAAGGAGGGGCAAGCTGAAATGCATGGAAGGTGCAGAATAGCAGAAACACCACTTAGCCTACTGGAAGTAATTTCTTTCAGTCCCATCCCAGCAAACTAGCTCCACTCCCGTAGCATAGGTCAGGGCTGTTAGGATCTGAAGGACAGCCCATTTAGCAGCGTAGGGGATTCTTCACTAGGAAAGGACTCTTCCTTCCAGCCTCTGGCATATGAAACGTGGCCATTGGGGAAAGAATTTGAGTTCAGCTGAGGCAGTGGTCTTTAAACGCTGAAGAAGAATAGCATAGCATAGAGGTTTTTGATGTAACATTTTTGCTGCTAAAGGATTCCCTTCCTTTTGCCCGGTTACTTTCCAGTTGCAGGAAGAGTCACGGAGCTCACTGGGCAAATGGCTCGCCTTAAAGAACAGCCTTTTTTCAGCTGGATGAATTGCAATGTTGAGCAGCAGTATGCCTGGCGAAAGCCAGGACTACCAGTGTGCAGCACTTACCAAGCACGAGAGAGAGATGATGATCTTAATGCTACTTTTTGGATTTGCCATTGTATTCAACAGTAGGAAACATCATTGAACAGCTGCTTCTGCCACTCACTTCAGTTTCCTTTGAACAAACTGTAGAAAGCTTCCTTCCTCTGTAACTGCTCTAGAAACCAGAAGGTCTCCTAATGTGGCTGGCACATGGCAAGAATTGCTTGTGAGGGGGTTGTGGTGGGCAGCAGCTGCTGGTCGCCTGAGCAGCCTTACAGGCTTGAGCTGCAGGGTAAGATCACGCGTGCAGGCAGCGGCCCCTGAGAAATGAGGGAGAACTTTATCTATCAGAAAGCTGGGTGGAAGGGGCTGATGAATAAATGGGGTTGGGGGTCAAGGCTGTATTTCTGAAGAAAAAGGGAGAGGTAGCCCAGGGGTATGGAAATGGACTCCATCTCCCTGGACTGTACCCCACAGGGGAGGAGGAACAAGGTATGTCAAAGGAGGGGGCTGAAGTATGGCTCCACACGTACATGGGCACAGAGCCAGCACTGTTTGCAGCTTTATCGGTGGCACACCTTTTTTGCTTACAACCATTTATAGCTGACCGACCATCTTAGAGAAAGAAGTGCTCCTATGTGTGGTGCTGCTCTTATTCAGGGCATTGTCTGGTAGATTTCTTCTGTCTTCCAAGAAAGGGATTTTTGTTTCTGGAGACGATTGTGCTTGGTTTCCATTCCCTGTGGAAGTCAATTGATGGGTTTTGTTTTGTTTTTAATACAGCTTTATACAATGAAAAAGTTGGAGTGAATGAGCGGAAGAGGAAGCGCAGAACCACCATAAGGTAATAAATATTTAGGGTGTTACACATTAGAAACCACTTTGGCTAAGATGCTTCTTTTTCTTGGGTTCAAAATCAAAGTGTTATTTTCTGTTAATGAATCTCTACAGCTAGTGTTTCAAAATGTTTCACTATTTTGAAACATTATGGTGAAAAATAACAGCATAACCCTCCAAAATGCCAGTTTGCTCCAAATAGAAAACTTTTCCCAATTAAAGACTTTTTTTTGACACATGACAACACACTTAAATATGAAAAAATATTTTATTCCAATTCTGCCCAAATTTTATGGTACCTATATAGTGAATAAGGTTTCAGAGCACCCTTGTTTTCATTTTGGGAGGTTCTACATTTTTGATTCTACCAAAATAAATTGCATTATTTTGCTAGAGAATTGAGGTCTGGGAAGTTTGAGGACACAGTTTTACAAGTAGTATTGCACCTCTGTCCCTATCATCTGTCACTGGAGTCTTTGGAGTTCCCAAGGAACACTTTAATGAGCTAAAAGGAAAAAAGAGGGAGTTGTTCTGGGAACCTCCTTCTCCTGCTTCTCACATCGCTGGTGGCCAACATCTACCATCTATCTAGCCTTAACTCCATGTGGAAATCAAGTAGGCTGGTAAATCATATTGCAAAAACAAATACCAAATAGGCAAAATGAGAACATGGGGTATTTCCTTCTCCTTTAGATATCCCAGACTCTTATAACCTTTAGTGAAGAAGAATTCACACAGAGGCCCTCCAAGGAGCTGTAGCATTCTTCCACAGGAAGGGAATTTGTCTGCCTCTGGGTACAACCCTGTGCTGTCAGGCCCTACCTGTTACAGTGAATTGTGCCTGTTCTTTCAGCAGGGATCCTTCCTGATGTCCAGTGCCACCTCCCAGAGATGTAAGCTGCTCTATAGTCCCACAGCCACAACATGTACCTTCTCTTCTCACATTCAACTTGGGATTCATTTTTTGAGTCATATTGAATCATAGAATCATTTGTGCTGGAAGGGACCTTTAGAGGTCATCTAGTCCAACCCCCCTGCGGTGAGCAGGGACATCTCCAACTAGATAAGGTTACTCAGAGCCCCATCCAGCCTGACCTTGAATGCCTCCAGGGATGGGGCTTCCACCACCTCTCTGGGCAACCTGTTCCAGTGCTTCACCACCCTCATTGTAAAAATTTTTTTCCTTATGTCTAGTCTAAATCTACCCTCTTTTAGTTTAAAACCATTACCCCTTGTTCTGTCACAGCAGACCCTGCTAAAAAGTCTGTCCCCATCTCTCATATAGGCCCCCTTCAGGTATTGGAAGGCCGCAATGAGGTCACCCCAAAGCCTTTTCTTCTCCAGGCTGAACAACCCCAACTCTCTCAGCCTGTCCTCATAGGAGAGGTGCTCCAGCCCTCGGATCATTTTCATTGCCCTCCTCTGGACCTTCTCCAACAGGTCCATGTCTCTCCTGCGCTGAGGGCTCCAGAGCTGGATGCAGTACTCCAGGTGGGGTCTCACCAGAGCGGAGTAGA